CATGCTTAGTACGCAATTAGAATCGTTCAGTGATCAGCTGAGAGCCTCCTTCCAAAAAGTGCAATTACTTCATATACCTTCTGGACAGCTACAAAAGAACATACTTAGTACGTAGTTAGAATCATGGAGTGATCAAGTGTGTGCCTCTTTCGAAAAAATTGTGATTACTTCATACCTTGGGGGTGTCACTGCACCCATACCGCCATACCTCCTTTATGACTGATTTTCCTCAAGAAGATGAAGGTCGCCAGTAAATAATAATAATAATAATAAAACCTAATTTTTTCTGAATCATGCAGTTCAATCATAGTTATCCAAGAGGAAAATGAAAAATATCAAATTTCTTTCAGAAGTATCAAATCCCTAAAGACAAACAGAATTCAACTTTTAATGGGTTAACACCCAAAACATTGATAGACAATTTTGTAAACCAATCCTGATGGCTAAAAAAAATGGACCTAATTTCTTGAACCAAGAGTTAAGGGAACTTACCACTACAGAGAGCACCGAAAAGAGCTAGGGTTGAGACTGAAGAATGTTGTTTTGAACGTTGAAATTTGAAAAGAAGAATATATTAACCCAAAAGGAAAATATCAAAATGAGATACAATTCATCAATTGAACCTGCGACCCTCAAAAACGTACATCAAAAAGAAGAAAAAAAAATTTTGCCCGAAATTTTTATACGAAAGGAGAAAAGAAATTCATCAGCTTGATCATCAACAATGAATTATATAAAAGAAATCACAATGAAAACCCACCAAGAATGAGGAACTAACAAGACTACATCAAACAATGATAAAATCCAATCAAATAAAACCCTAAATATTTCTCATGAATACAGAAAAACCCTTGATTTTTTTTTTTTTGTCATAAATGCATAATGAAGAAGATTTTGTACCTACACAATACGAGAGATTTTCTTTTACGCTCTATTCGGATTGGAAAAGTTGAAAGGGAAAGGAAAGACAGTGAAGGGAAAAGAGCAAGTTCGATTGTTCGGTTGGTTTTGTTTTTTTTAAACATGTGCAAGTCATGTGCGTTATTAACATACAGATTTTTTTTTCTGGCCTAAAAAAGAAACTTTTTTTTCTCAATTAGTTTGATGGTGGTTTTTTTATAG